GCAGGGCAGCGCGCAAGCATAACAGCAGGCCAGCGATTTTCACCCCTGCGTGCGAGTCAGCTGTCGTGGACGTAAGTCCACGGATCCCCCGTAGTCAGCTACAACGCTGCGATCTGCGCGAGTGAGAGATGCAGCCAGTGGCGGCATGCATTTTCGCTGCTCAGAGTGATGCGGGAACGCCATGTGGAGACGAACGATATCAGTTACAATTTATGCATCACGGCGTATGAGAGGTCGTCTCGCAACTTGGCAGGCTTGTCCTGCTATCGTTGTATCGGCCTTTCCCGTTTTCGAGTGTCTTGCGGGGCACTGTCCGTGTGGGAACCTGCTGGGGAACCATTGTGATCACGTGGGCGAACATCCGTATTTTGAATTTGGCAGCAGTGTTCCGTCGCGCAGGAAGCCGCTTCGGATACCATGACGTGGATCCGCCCTGGTTGGCTACAGCACTGAGATCAGCACTTCTGATAGAGGCGTCCAGTGAAAGCGGGTCCTGCCGATGATCAGCGATCTTTTGATTGTGAAGCTGGAGCCCAATGGCGACAGTTGCTCAGCGAGGTGCGGGATGCGATGCCGGAGGCCAAGGCCATCCGTGCTACCATCTTGGGCGAACCGCGCGCCGAACATCGACGCCGTGGGCCAGCTCCAGGGCCCCCGACGTCAGCCCAGGACGCTCTAAGCACGAGGGACCTGGGTGAGCCCACGACACTCCGAAGACGCCCAGAATAGGGGAACAAAAAGTGACATAAACATAAAAACTCGGAGCTCCGCGCGGATTTCTCGGACCGGCGCTGGACCCCCCTCCCTGGCGCGCGGAGCGCGCGAGGGGCGGCGCCGGAGGCGCCGCTGGGGAGCCCCGGTGCCGATCCGAGAAGTCCGCGCGGACCTCCGAGTTTTTATGTTTATGTCACTTTTTGTTCCCCTACACGACACTCCGAAGACGCCCAGCAGGTTCCACGATGGCCCCAAGGTGCCTTCGAGAGGCCTCATAAAGGCCGCTTCTCGAGCCCCCCCCCCGCGCGAGAAGGCCACGGGCCCGCACGCCTCTCTGCTGCCTGGCAGCCCTGCGCCCGCGGCGTGCCGGGCAGGGCCACTGCCCGTGCCCGCGCGGAGGCTCCCGGGGCCCCGCCAGGCCGAGGGGGCGCTCCAGGACGTCGGGGGCGGCAAAGAGGGGGGTGATGACTGGGGGGGGGTGGATATCATGGCGGGGGCCATGACATCTCCCAAGATCTCATGGCGCCTCTTCTTATGTCATGACGTCCCCGGCCCCCCCGCTGGGCCGCGCACATGCCGCCGGCCAGGATTTGCACCCCCTCTCCCCCTCTTGGACACCCCCCTCGTGGCCGCTCCTGAAAGACGGCCCAAGAGTCTGGGCTTGTGGAAGTCGAGTCATGGAGAGGAAGCATGCTGCCAAATCATTTCCAGATATCTGAACCATGCCTCAAGCATGTTTTTAGACATGTGAAGCACATGTGTGAGACATGTTCCCTACCTAGGCTCTGCCTAGGAGGGTTCTTACTTTATAAGTTTAAAGGGCCGGGCAGTGTTCCTCGCCCCGGGCGGTTCCCCGGCATCCGCCCCGCGGTTCCCCCAGTTGCGCCCCCTGGGTTCACCCAGCTTAGCTTAGCTTAGCTTAGCTTAGCTTAGCTCATCTCATCTTAGCTTAGCTTAGCTTAGCTTTGACTAGCCTAGCTTAGCTTAGCTTAGCTTAGCTTAGCTCAACTTAGCATAGCTTAGCTCAGCTTAGCTTAGCTTAGCCTGGCTAGCTTAGCCTAGCCTAGCCTATCTTAGCTTAGCTTAGCTCAACTTAGCATAGCTTAGCTTGCCTTTGCTTAGCTTAGCGCAGCGCAGCATAACGCAGCGCAGCATTAGCACTGCATATCATAGCATAGCATAGCCAATCATAGCCAAACATAACATAGCATAGCTCAGCATATCATAGCATAAACGAACATAGCCAAGCATACCATATCATAGCATATCATAGCATCACATAGCATTGCTTATCATAGCACAGCGCAGCATAGCATACCATAGCACATAATAGCACACCATAACATAGCATATCATAGCGCAGCATAGCAAATCATATCATATCATATCATAGCACAACGCAGCATATCATATCATAGCATCGCCTATCATATCATCGCATTTAGATGTCTGCATATAGCATAATATGACATCATAGCATAGCATATCATAGTCTAATATAGCATAGCATAGTATCATACCATATCATAGCATCGCATTGATATGTAGGTGTAGGTGTAGGTGTGGATGTAGGTGTATATGTAGATGTAGATGTAGATGTAGATATAGGTGTAGATGTAGGTGTAGATGTATATGTAGATGTGAGTCTCGCTGTTGATGTTGGTGTAGATGTAGATGCAGGTGTAGATGTAAATGTAGCTGTCGGTGTAGATGTAGATGTTGCTTTCTAAATGCTCCAACTCCTAGGTCGCACTGGGATAATCTAGAACATGTTTTATGCATGTTGAACACAGCTTTAGTTCAATGATCGGATTGTTAGAGTGTCCATTGTCGTGGCATCCACAAGTCTAGGCCCCGCGGAGTGGAGCGACACGCCACCCACCCGCAGTGGCATGAAGCGTGCCGCCCGGGCCGGCGCGGCGAGGCGCCTCTGCAGGGGCTCCCGACCGTGGGGCCCCCCTCCTGCGGCCCTCGACCACCTTGCCCTTTGTTGACCCCCCTCTGAACGTCTAGGCCTCCTAATTGGTTCTGCTGGGCCGCCCGGATGGGGTCCGGGTAGGTGGGGTCGGAGGATCGCGCCGCATCGCCGATGCATCGGCGATGCGGCTCGATGAGGGGTCCGATTTCCTCCGCGCCGACGTCGCCGAGGCATCTCCGATGCGTCGCCAATGCATTACCGATGCATCGCCGATGCCTCGGCGATGTATTGGCGATACGGTGCGATGCTTCGACCCCATCTGCTCCGACCCCATCTAGGAGGCCTCTAAAGAGGGCCCCAACACCGTCCAGGATGGCCCGAGACGCCTCCAGATTGTCCAAGTGTTTGCCGCTATCGCTTTCGGACGGCCCAGGAAGCCCAGGACGGCCCAGGAGGATTCCAAGAGGTCTCCCAAGAGGGCCCCAGGAGGCCCACGATATATACAAACAAACAAAAAAGAACTTAGGCATACTCGCCTCGTCGGGCTCCCGACGCTCCCAGACGGCCCGAGAGGCCGCCAAACTCGCTCCAGAGCGCGCTCCCCACCCTTTCGGCCACCGGGGGCGCGCTCCCGCAGTGCCTTCTGCCTTCTGCCTCCTCTCGGGACGGCGCAGCCCGCGCGACTCCTCCGACGGCCTCGGACGGCCAGATCCACGACGGGGCATCGTCAGAGCACGGGGCGCACATGCGCCTCTTGGAGGAGGAGGAGGAGGAGGAGGAGGAGGAGGATGAGGAGGAGGAGGAGGAGGAGGAGGAGGAGGAGGAGGAGGAGAAGGAGGAGGAGGAGGCGGAGGCGGAGGCGGAGGTGGAGGAGGAGGAGGAGGAGGAGGAGGAGGAGGAGGCGGAGGCGGAGGCGGAGGAGGAGCAGGAGGAGGAGGAGGAGGAGGCGGATGATGATGATGATGAGGAGGAGGAGGAGGAAGAGGAGGCGGAGGTGGAGGAGGAGGGGGAGGAGGAGGAGGAGGAGGAGGAGGAGGAGGAGGAGGAGGAGGAGGAGGAGACTTTCAGTCTTGGCCCTGATGCCGCCTCCAGGCGGCCCAAGATCGCCCCAGGCCGGCCCGAGACGCGCCCTCCGCCAGCCCCCCCCCCTGCGCTCCCCAGAAGCCTGGCTCCGAGGTGGCCCCCAAGGAGCCTCGGAAGATGCCGAGGTCCAGGCCAGGAGAGCCCAAGCAGGCACAGCAAGCAGGCACGGCAAGCAGGCACAGCGAGCAGCAGCAGCAAGCAGCAGCCAGCCAGCCAGCCAGAAGGCGAGCGGCAAGCAAGCGTGCCGGCAAGCAGGCCAGCAAGCCAGCAAGTCGGCAAGCGAGCAATCGGCAAGCACGCAACAAGCCAGTACAAGCAGGCAAACTGTTAGCATGCAGCACTCGCGGCAAGCCGCCGTTTTTCTATTTCTTGTTTCGCCGATAGGGGCGGGCCCCCGCCCCCCCGCTCCCCCCCATAGACCAGATCTTGGCTGCTTTGGGCGGCTGCTTTTGGCGGCTTGTCAGGACCCCTCCCCCCAGTCTGCATGCGCGACTGGCAGAAGCAGATCGACTAAGCACCGGCCCAGACCCAGAATCCCCCCCTCCCCCACCCTTCGGCCAAATGTCGAAATCTAGAATAAAACAACGCCTACCTGGCAGCCTACAGACGCAAGCAGCAACACACACGCTGGAAACGCTGCTTGACGTGGACGGAGTTGACGGGCCAGCCCTGGTCTATACTACAATGCAGGCGGCCGTGCGTGCCAGAATGGCGAGCAGGGTCACGCGACTCCAAGAACTCAGAATCATGCCAGGCGGACCCCGGGGCCTCAAGGATGCTTGCGGACAGGCCCCAGATGGCTCAGCGGCGGATCCAAGGGCCCCGAGAAGGCCCACGAGGACCCCGACACAGGCCCAGGACGGCCCGCAGGCAGCCCAGGAGGTTCCGAAGACGGCCCCGAAGGCGGCCCACGAGGTCGTCCAGGCGGCCCGAGGTGGCCAAAATCGTTCTTATGTCAACGGTTTTCGACTGATTTTCAGATTCTCGACAAGTCGAGCCAAGAGCGGCCCAAGACTGTTCCCTGCGCCTCCCCAACTGCTCCCAGGCAGCCCACGAGGCGCGGGCAGTCAATCGTGAAACAAGCGCAAGCAGGCAAAGTCGTCGCAAGCGGCAGCCAGCAACTATCACCAACCGATCTGAAGCGACAGGCAGCAACATGCCCACACTGAACACGCTGGTGGACGTGGACGGAGTCCACGGGTCAGCCCTAGTCAGCTACAGCGCTGGGATCAGCGCGTGCGAGAAGGGCGAGCAGTGGCAGCGGGCACTTGCTCTGCTGAGCGAGATGTGGGAGGCGAAGCTGGAGCCCAACGTCATCAGCTACAGCGCTGGGATCAGCGCGTGCAAGAAGGGCGAGCAGTGGCAGCTGGCGCTTGCGCTGCTGAGCGAGATGTGGGAGGCGAAGCTGGAGCCCGACGTCATCAGCTACAACGCTGGGATCAGCGCGTGCGAGAAGGGCGAGCAGTGGCAGCGGGCACTTGCGCTGCTGAGCGAGATGTGGGAGGCGAAGCTGGAGCCCGACGTCATCTCTACTACATTGCAGGAGCACGTGCGTGCGGGAAGGGTGAGCAGGCTCAAATGTCTCAAAACCGCCCGGGTGGCCCCGGAGCCGGGGCACCCCGGCTGCCCCGGAGGCCCAGGCAGGCCCAGGGACATTGTCGAGAGGGCCCCAAGAAACCCCCAAGAGGCCCCTGGAGCCCGGGCATCCGCTTAAAGATGGGCCCAAGACGCCCGAGATTCGCCCAGGCGGCCCAAGAGGCGTCCAAGACGCCCGAAGAAGCCTCCCAAGAGGCCTCCCAAGAGGGCCCCGAGCGACAGAAATCGTCGATTTCTACTGTGTTTTTCGATGTTTTCGGCCTCCTCGCCTCGTCGGCTTCCCGACGCTCCAAGACGGCCCAAGAAGCCCCCCCGACCGCTCCAAGACGGCCGACCCCAAGAGAGGCCCAAGACGGGCCAGGAGGGCCCCCAGACGGTCCCAAGACGCCCCAGGACGGCCCCCGGACGGCCCAGGAGGCGCCCAAGACGGCCCAAGAGGCACCCAAGACGACCCCAGGAGCGGCCCAAGACGGCCCACGACAGCCCAAGAGGCGCCGAGGCGGGTCTCAGACGGCCCCAAGACGGCCCAAGAGGCACCCAAGACGGCCCGAGAGGGCTAAGAGCCCCCCCGGGAGGCCCAAACGAAGGCCGAAGAGGCTCCCAAACGGCCCCCACGAAGCCTTCAGTGCCTTCAGAATTCCCTCCAGGAGCGGGGGAGCGGACGAGAGGCGACAGGCATATCGCAGGCAAAAACGCCCCAAGAGATCCCCAAACGGCCCCCACGAAGCCCTAAGTGGCTTCAGAATTGCTTCCAGGAGGGGGGGGAGCGGACGAGAGGCGACCGGCATATCGAAGGCACACAAGAACAATGTTGGACGCTCCGAGGGCCTTCGATGTTTCTCCGTTGGGGAGAGTCGTCGTAGGATCGACGATTGCCGACCGAGGGCAGCGAATCCAGTGGAGGCCCTAGAGGCCCCCAGGAGCCCAAAAGAGATCCCCAAGAGGTGCCACGGGGCTTAAAAACTGCTTCGAAGCGAGGGGGGCGGACGAGGGGACCGCCTCAGGAGGTTTTGGACGGTTTTGGGCCTCAAAATCGTCCGCTTTACGACGGTTCTGGAAGGATTTTGGCCTTCTCGCCTTTTCCGCTTTCCGACGCTCGAAGACGGCCCAAGAGGCCTCCAAGAGCGCCCCAGAACGGCCCAAGAGGCTTCCAAGAGCGCCCCAAGACAGCCCAAGAGGGCCCCAAGACGACGCAAGAGACGCTCAAGACGGCCCACGAGGGCCCGAAGACAGGCCCAAGAGGGGGCCAAGAGGGGGACCACGGACCGAAAATCCGAGCCTTCCGCCCCAAGAGGGCGCCAGGAGGCCCAAACAGGCCCCCAAGAGGCCCCAAGGGGCCGCCAAGAATCCCCCGAAGAGGCCCCAGGAGGCTCCCAAGGAGCCCAAACGAGGCCCCAACAGGGGCCCCAACAGCTTCCAAAATTGCCCCAAAGAGGCCTCGAGCCCGCCTCCGAGCTTCCTCGCCGCGAGGGTGCCAACACGGCCCCAGACGGGCCCAGGACGGCCCAAGGCGCGCTCAAGACGGCAAAAGACGATCCCAAGACGGTCCCAGGAGGGTGCGCCCAGGGCGGCCCAAGGACGCGCCCGGTCGGGGCCTCAAGACGGGCCAAGATGGCAAGAGAGCCCCAGCTGGCAAAAATCTGTAATTGTCCATTGTTTACTGTTACACCCTTTGCGTTTCCCGCCGTTTCGGCGGTCCGATGCACCAAGAGGCCCCAGAAAATCCCATGAGGGTCCGAGGAAACGTCCAGGAAGGCCCCAAGACGGGCCAAGCACAACCCAAGGCGCGCTGCGACGGCTCAAGACGGCTCCAAGACAGCCCCAAGAGGGTGCCAACACGGCCCCTGCTGGGCCCAGGACGGCCCAAGGAGGCGCACAGGAGGGGCCCAAAACGACTCCAGGGCGGCCTCCTCACGGTCCCAGACGGCTCCAAGACAGCCCCACCAGGACCCCGATGGGCCCAGGACGGCCTACGGACGCGCCCATGAGGGGCCCACGACGAACCAAGACGGCCCCATCACGGTAAACGGCGCCCTGAAGACCGGCCTAGAAAGCTCCAAGACGGCCTTTTGAGGGAGCCACCGCGGCCCCACACCCTTCGGGCGAACCGTCGGGGTGGCTGGGAGCTTGCGACAAGTCTCCCACATTCATTGTCCTGCCCCATTCTGTTCGCCTGGAGGCCTCCTCCAACCCTGTGGGCGAACAAGAGGAATCCCAGCGGGCCGCCAACCCTGGGGCCCGTGGGCCCCGCGCCGCTTGGGCAGAAGACGAACGCCGGGTCTGACAGGCCAGCTACCGCCCGCCTTTGCCCGATATGCTGTGCCATTCTGTTCCCCCAGGGGCCTTGGCAAACTCTTCGGGCCAAGCAGACCGGACCCCTGTGACAGCAGCCAATTGATATGACCCTGGGACCTCTCCGCATTCTTCTGACGAGCATCTGGGGGGCCCAGGAGATTCGGACATGTCTTCCCCATTCCTTGCCCTGTCCCGTTCTGTTCGCCCGAAGGCCTCCACAGACCCTCTGGGCGAACAGAATGGGACATGGCGAACAACCCTCCCGTTGGCGGTGATGCGACTGGATCGCACCATCAAGGCGCGCCCGGAGGTGATGGCCGACCCAACAGCGGTTTCTCTTAAGAGTTCACTGGATTTCAAATTTTCTTGAAGCTCTCTTGGGCCCTCCCTGTAGATCCTTGCGAGCCCCTCCGGTGCTTTCGGTGGCTTTCCCCGATGGCCTCCCGAGCCCTTCCCCGAGCGCTCCTGAGACGCCTCAGATGGGCTTCGACTTCGACGCACATCCCCGAGAGACTTCGAAACTGTCCTCAATAGGAGGGGGGTGAACGAGCAGTGCGCGGGTGATGCGCGGGCCAAGCCTGCTGCCAGCGCTGCAAGAGTCGGGCCACGGAAGGCGCGCGTCTCGCTAGCCCGCCGACCGAGCCGCCGCCGTGTTGTAGATTTCGCGTTTACAATCTGCGCCGTTCCTCCTGAGAATCCCCTTCAGAAAGATGTCGTGGACGGAGTCCACGGGTCAGCCCTAGTCAGCTACAGCGCTGGGATCAGCGCGTGCGAGAAGGGCGAGCAGTGGCAGCCGGCGCTTGCGCTGCTGAGCGAGATGTGGGAGGCGAAGCTGGAGCCCAACGTCATCTTCTCTACTACATTGCAGGAGCACGTGCGTGCCAGAAGGGCGCAGGCTCAAATAACTCAAAACCGCCCCGGGCTGGCCCCAGGCCGCCCCGGGCCGCCCAGGCAGGCCCCAGGACATGTCGAGAGGGCCCCCAGAAGCCCCCAAGACGGCCCCGGAGAGCCCCGGCACGCTAAATGATGGGCCCAAGACGCCCGAGATTCGCCCCAGGCGGCCCAAGAGGCGTCCAAGACGCCCGAAGAGGCCTCCCAAGAGGCCTCCCAAGAGGGCTCCGAGCGACAGACATCGTCGATTTCTACTGTGTTTTTCTATGTTTTCGGCCTCCTCGCCTCGTCGGCTTCCCGACGCTCCAAGACGGCCCAAGAAGCCCCCCCGACCGCTCCAAGACGGCCGAAGAGGACCCCAAGAGAGCCCCAAGACGGGCCAGGACGGCCCCCAGACGGTCCCAAGACGCCCCAGGACGGCCCCAGGACGGCCCAGGAGGCGCCCAAGACGGCCCAAGAGGCACCCAAGGCGGCCCCAGGAGCGGCCCCAAGACGGCCCAAGAGGCACCCAAGACGGCCCGAGAGGGCCCTAAGAGCCCCCCGGGAGGCCCAAACGAAGGCCGAAGAGGCTCCGAAACGGCCTTCAGTGCCTTCAGAATTCCTTCCAGGAGCGGGGGAGCGGACGAAGCCCTAAGTGGCTTCAGAATTGCTTCCAGGAGGGGGGGAGCGGACGAGAGGCGACCGGCATATCGAAGGCACAAAAGAACAATGTTGGACGCTCCGAGGGCCTTCGATGTTTCTCCGTTGGGGAGAGTCGTCGTAGGATCGACGATTGCCGACCGAGGGCAGCGAATCCAGTGGAGGCCCAAGAGGCCCCCAGGAGCCCAAAAGAGATCCCCAAGAGGTGCCACGGGGCTTAAAACTGCTTTGAAGCGAGGGGGGCGGACGAGGGGACCGCCTCAGGAGGTTTTGGATGGTTTTGGGCTTTAAAATCGTCCGCTTTACGACGGTTTTGGAAGGATTTTGGCCTTCTCGCCTTTTCCGCTTTCCGACGCTCGAAGACGGCCCAAGAGGCCTCCAAGAGCGCCCCAGAACGGCCCAAGAGGCTTCCAAGAGTGCCCCAAGACAGCCCAAGAGGGCCCCAAGACGACCCAAGAGACGCTCAAGACGGCCCACGAGGGCCCGAAGACAGGCCCAAGAGGGGGCCAAGAGGGGGACCACGGACCGAAAATCCGAGCCTTCCGCCCCAAGAGGGCGCCAGGAGACCCAAACAGGCCCCCAAGAGGCCCCAAGGGGCCGCCAAGAATCCCCCGAAGAGGCCCCAGGAGGCTCCCAAGGAGCCCAAACGAGGCCCCAACAGAGGCCCCAACAGCTTCCAAAATGGCCCCGAAGAGGCCTCGAGCCCGCCTCCGAGCTTCCTCGCCGCGAGGGTGCCAACACGGCCCCAGACCGGCCCAGGACGGCCCAAGGCGCGCTCAAGACGGCCCAAGACGATTCCAAACCGGTCCCAGGAGGGTGCGCCCAGGACGGCCCAAGGACGCGCCCGTTCGGGGCCTCAAGACGGGCCAAGATGGCAAGAGAGTCCCAGCTGGCAAAAATCGTTAATTTTCCATTGTTTACTGTTACACCCTTTGCGTTTCCCGCCGTTTCGGCGGTCAGATGCACCAAGAGGCCCCAGAAAGTCCCAGGAGGGTCCGAGGAACCGCCCAGGAAGGCCCCAAGACGGGCCAAGACGGACCCAGCACAACCCAAGGCGCGCTGCGACGGCTCAAGACGGCTCCAAGACAGCCCCAAGAGGGTGCCAACACGGCCCCTGCTGGACCCAGGACGGCCCAAGGAGGCGCACAGGAGGGGCCCAAGACGACTCCAAGGCGGCCCCCTCACGGTCCCAGACGGCTCCAAGACATCCCCACGAGGACCCCGATGGGCCCAGGACGGCCTACGGACGCGCCCATGAGGGGCCCACGACGAACCAAGACGGCCCCATCAGGGCAAACGGCGCCCTCAAGACGGGCCTAGACGGCTCCAAGACGGCCCTTTGAGGGAGCCAACGCGGCCCCACACCCTTCGGGCGCACAATTGGGGGGGCTGGGAGCTTGCGACAAGTCTCCCACATTCATTGTCCTGCCCCATTCTGTTCGCCTGGAGGCCTCCTCCAACCCTGTGGGCGAACAAGAGGAATCCCAGCGGGACGCCAACCCTGGGGCCCGTGGGCCCCGCGCCGCTTGGGCAGAAGACGAACGCCGGGTCTGACAGGCCAGCTACCGCCCCCCTTTGCCTGATATGCTGTGCCATTCTGTTCCCCCAGGGGCCTTGGCAAACTCTTCGGGCCAACCAGACCGGACCCCTGGGACAGCAGCCAATAGATATGACCCAGGGACCTCTCCGCTTTCTTCGGACGAGCACCTGGGGGCCCAGGAGATTCGGACAAGTCTTCCCCATTCCTTGCCCTGTCCCGTTCTGTTCGCCCGAAGGCCTCCACAGACTCTCTGGGCGAACAGAATGGGACATGGCGAACAAACCCTCCCGTTGGCGGTGATGCGACTGGGTCGCACCATCAAGGCGTGCCCGGAGGTGATGGCCGACCCAACAGCGGTTTCTCTAAAGATTCTACAGTCTTTCAAATTGTCTTGAAGATCTCTTGGGCCCTCCCTGTAGATCCTTGCGAGCCTCCCCGGCGCTTTCGGTGGCTTTCCCCGATGGCCTCCCGAGCCCTTCCCCAGGCGTTCCTGAGACGCCTCAGATGGGCTTCGACTTCGACGAACATCCCCGAGAGACGAAACTGCCCTCAATAGGAGTGGGGTGAACGAGCAGTGCGCTTGGCCAAGCTGCTGGAGCGCTGCAAGAGCTCGGACACGAAGGCGCGGTCTTGCTGCCGCCGCCCGATTCGCCGCCGTGTTTGTAGATTTTCGGTACAATCTGCGCCGTTCCTCCGAGAACCATTCCAGAAAGATGTCGTGGACGGAGTCCACGGGTCAGCCCTAGTCAGCTACAGCGCTGGGATCAGCGCGTGCGAGAAGGGCGGGCAGTGGCAGCGGGCCCTAGCGCTGCTGAGCGAGATGTGGGAGGCGAAGCTCGATTCCGACGTCATCAGCTACAGCGTTGGGATCAGCGCGTGCGAGAAGGGCGAGCAGTGGCAGCGGGCCCTGGCGTTGCTGAGAGAGATGCGGGAGGCGAAGCTCGAGCCCAGCGTCATCAGCTACGGCGCCGGGATCAGCGCGTGCAAGAAGGGCGGGCAGTGGCAGCGGGCGCGGGCGCTGCTGAGCGAGATGTGGGAGGCGAAGCTGGAGCCCGACGTCATCGACTACAGCGCTGGGATCAGCGCGTGCGAGAAGGGCGAACAGTGGCAGCCGGCGCTGGCGCTGCTGATCGAGATGTGAGAGGCGAAGCTCGAGCCCAACGTCATCAGCTATAGCGTTGGGATCAGCGCGTGCGAGAAGGGCGAGCAGTGGCAGCGGGCTTTGGCACTGCTGAGCGAGATGCGGGAGGCGAAGCTGGAGCCCCTACAGCGCTGGGATCAGCGCTTGCGAGAAGGGCGGGCAGTGGCAGCCGGCGTTGGCGCTGTTGAGCGAGATGCGGGAGGCGAAGTTGGAGCCCGACGTCATCTATACTATATGGCCGGAGGAAGCGCGTGCCGGAAGGAAATCCAGCCAAATGACTAGAAACGGCTCCGAGACGCTCCGGAGGCCGCCCCGACGGCCCAAAGACGGCTCCGAGCCGCTCAAGATGCCCCGAAGGCGGCCCAAGAGGGCCCCGAGACGCGCAATGATCCGGCCAAGACGCCCAAGATTGGCCCCAGACGGCCCAAGAGCTCCCCAAGACGGCCCAACAGGCCTCCCAAGAGGCATCCCAGGAGAGGCCCGAGAGGCCAAAATCGTTGATTTTCATTTGATTTCCCTAGGTTTTTCGCTTCCTCGCTTTTTCGGCTTCCCGACGCTCCGAAACCCCCCCAGAGGCATCCAAGACCGCTCCAAGACGGTCGAAGAGGTGCCCAAGAGGACCCCAAGACGGTCCAAGAGGGCCTCAAGACGGTCCCAGGCGGCCCCCGGACGGCCCCAGAGGCGACCAAGACAGGCCACCGGGACCCCAAGATGGCCCGAAGAGCGGCCCAAGATGGCTCCAAGACGGCCCGAGGAACCGCCCAGAGCTCGCCAAGACGGCCCAATAGGCCTCCCAAGAGACATCCCAGGAGAGGCCCGAGAGGCCGAAATCGCTGATTTTCATTAGTTTCCCCGAGGTTTTTTGCTTCCTCGCTTTTTCGGCTTCCCGACGCTCCGAAACCCTCCCAGAGGCATCCAAGACCGCTCCAAGACTGTCGACGAGGCCCCCAAGAGGACCCCAAGACGGTCCAGGAGGGCCCCAAGACGGTCCAAGGCGGCCCCCGGACGGCCCCAGAGGCGCCCTAGACAGGCCAACGGGACCCCAAGATGGCCCGAAGAGCGGCCCAAGATGGCTCCAAGACGGCCCGAGGAACCGCCCAGAGCTCGCCAAGACGGCCCACTAGGCCTCCCAAGAGGCATCCCGGGAGAGGCCCGAGAGGCCAAAATCGTTGATTTTCATGCGTTTCCACAAGGTTTTTTGCTTCCTCGCTTTTTCGGCTTCCCGACGCTCCGAACCCCCCCCCGAGGCATCCAGGACCGCTCCAAGACGGTCGACGAGGTCCCCAAGAGGACCCCAAGACGGTCCAAGAGGGCCCCAAGACGGTCCAAGGCGGCCCCCGGACGGCCCCAGAGGCGCCCAAGACAGGCCAGCGGGACCCCAAAATGGCCCGAAAAGCGGCCCAAGATGGCTCCAAGACGGCCCGAGGATCGCCCAAGAAGGCCCTAGGGGGCCCCAAGACAGCCCAAGGGGCGCGATAGACGAGCCCAGAGAGGCCCAAGAGGCCCCCAGGAGCCCAAAAGAGGTCCCCAAGAGGTGCCACGGGGCTTAAAAACTGCTTCGAAGCGAGGGGGGCAGACGAGGGGACCGCCTCAGGAGGTTTTGAACGGTTTTGGGCCTCAACATCATCCGCTTTACGACGGTTTTGGAAGGATTTTGGCCTTCTCGCCTTTTCCGCTTTCCGACGCGCGAAGACGGCCCAAGAGGCCTCCAAGAGCTCCCCAGGACGGCCCAAGAGGTTTCTCAGAGCGCCCCAAGACAGCCCAAGAGGGCCCCAAGACGACCCAAGAGACGCTCAAGACGGCCCACGAGGGCCCGAAGACACCGAAACTCCGAGCCTTCCGCCCCAAGAGGGCGCCAGGAGGTCCAAACAGGCCCCCAAGAGGCCCCAAGGGGCCGCCAAGAATCCCCCGAACAGGCCCCAGGAAGCTCCCAAGGAGCCCAAAACGAGGCCCCAACATAGGCCCCAACAGCTTCCAAAATGGCCCCAAAGAGGCCTCGAGCCCGCCTCCAAGCTTCCTCGCCGCGAGGGTGCCAACACGGCCCCATGCGGGCCCAGGACGGCCCAAGGCGCGCTCAAGACGGCCCAAGACGATTCCAAGACGGTCCCAGGAGGGTGCGCCCAGGACGGCCCAAGGACGCGCCCGGTCGGGGCCTCAAGACGGGCCAAGATGGCAAGAGAGCCCCAGCTGGCAAAAATCGTGAATTTTCCATTGTTTACTGTGACACCCTTTGCGTTTCCCGCCGTTTCGGCGGTCCGATGCACCAAGAGGCCCCAGAAAGTCCCAGGAGGGTCCGAGGAAACGCCCAGGAAAGGCCCCAAGACGGGCCAAGACGGACCCAGCACAACCCAAGGCGCGCTGCGACAGCTCAAGACGGCTCCAAGACAGCCCCAACAGGGTGCCAACACGGCCCCTGCTGGGCCCAGGACGGCCCAAGGAGGCGCACTGGAGGGGCCCAAGACGACTCCAAGGCGGCCCCCTCACCGTCCCAGACGGCTCCAAGACAGCCCCACGAGGACCTCGATGGGCCCAGGACGGCCTACGGACGCGCCCATGAGGGGCCCACGACGAACCAAGACGGCCCCATCACGGCAAACGGCGCCCTTAAGACGGGCATGGACGGCTCCAAGACGGCCCTTTGAGGGAGCCAACGCGGCCCCACACCATTCTGTTCGCCTGGAGGCCTCCTCCAACCCTGTGGGCGAACAAGAGGAATCCCAGCGGGCCGCCAACCCTGGGGCCCGTGGGCCCCGCGCCGCTTGGGCAGAAGACGAACGCCGGGTCTGACAGGCCAGCTACCGCCCCCCTTTGCCCGATATGCTGTGCCATTATGTTCCCCCAGGGGCCTTGGCAAACTCTTCGGGCCAAGCAGACCGGACCCCTGGAACAGCAGCCAATTGATATGACCCTGGGACCTCTCCGCATTCTTCGGACGAGCACCTGGGAGGCCCAGGAGATTCGGACAAGTCTTCCCCATTCCTTGCCCTGTCCCGTTCTGTTCGCCCGAAGGCCTCCACAGACCCTCTGGGCGAACAGAATGTTTTTTTTTTTTTTTTTTTTTTTTTTTTTTTTTTTTTTTTTTTTTTTTTTTTTTTTTTTTTTTTTTTTTTTTTTTTTTTTTTTTTTTTTTTTTTTTTTTTTTTTTTTTTTTTTTTTTTTTTTTTTTTTTTTTTTTTTTTTTTTTGGGCGAACAGAATGGGACATGGCGAACAAACCCTCCCGTTGGCGGTGATGCGACTGGAACGCACCATCAAGGCGCGCCCAGAGGTGATGGCCTATCTAACAGCGGTTTCTTTACATATTTTACAGAATTTCGAATTTTCTTGAAGCTCTCTTGGGCCCTCCCTGTAGATCCTTGCGAGCCTCCCCGGCGCTTTCGGTGGCTTTCCCCGATGGTCTCCCGAGCCCTTCCCCAAGCGCTCCTGAGACGCCTCAGATGGGCTTCGACTTCGACGCACATTCCCGAGAGACTTCGAAACTGTCCTCAATAGGAGGGGGGTGAACAAGCAGTTTGCGCTGGGCCAAGCTGCTGGAGCGCTGCAAGAGCTCGGACACGAAGGCGCGGTCTCGCTGCCGCCGCCCGAGCCGCCGCCGTGTTTGTAGATTTTCGGTACAATCTGCGCCGTTCCTCCGAGAACCATTCCAGAAAGATGTGGACGGAGTCCACGGGTCAGCCCTAGTCGACTACAGCGCTGGGATCAGCGCGTGCGAGAAGGGCGAACAGTGGCAGCCGGCGCTGGCGCTGCTGAGCGAGATGCGGGAGGCGAAGCTCGAGCCCAAAGTCATCTGCTACAGCGCTAGGATCAGCGCGTGCGAGAAGGGCGAGAAGGACGAGAAGAGCGATCAGTGGCAGCGGGTGCTGGTACTGCTGAGCGAGATGCGGGAGGCGGAGCTGGAGACCGACATCATCAGCTACATCGCTGGGATCAGCGCGTGCGAGAAGTGCAGGCAGTGGCAGCGGGCCCAGGGGCTGCTGAGCGAGATGCGGGAGGCAAAAGCTGGAGCCCGACGTCATCTCTCCTACATGGCCAGTGGAAGCGCGTGCGAGAATTGCCTCGTGTGCACAAAATCGCCTCGTGTGCCACCACGGGGCCGATCCGCTCAGGCCGGTCCCAGAGGCGCTCCAGAGGGGTTGCCAGACCGTCCAAGAGACCGTCCAAGAGCGCTCCAAGACGGCCTCAGTGGGTCCCGAGACGGCCCACGAGAGCCCGAAGCCTTCCGGGGGGTCTCCACGACGATCCAAGAGGCCGCAAAAACTCCCCAAGAGGGCCCTGAGCGCACGCCAAAGATGCACAAATCGCCAAATTCTGATGGGACAGCGTATATTTTCAGCATGCCCGCCCTGTGTGCTCCTCAGCGGCCCAGGACAAGCCAAGCGGCCTCCCAAATCGCCCCAAGAAGACGCCAGCGGCCCCCAAGAAGGCTCCATGAGGGGAATAAAACCGATCACAAACACTTCGGGTTGTTCAGGAATTACTTCGGTCGGATTGCAACCACTGGGCGCAACCTAAAGGATTCCTATACAAACATGTCAGGAGAACGCTGGATTGCAACCGATCCAAGAGCTCCTGCTGAGGCTTCTGAAAATGCTTCTATGAGGCCTCTGAAAAGCTACTCTGAGGCCTCTGGAAGGCTTTTCTGAGGCATCTGAAGGCTTCTCTGAGGCCTCTGAACAGCTTCTCCGAGGCCTCTGAGAAGCTCCTATGAGGCCTCTGCGAAGCTTCTGGGAGGCTTCTGAGAGGCTTGTGGGAGGTTTCTGAAAAGCTTGTGGGAGGCTTCTGAGAGGCTTGTAGATGCTTGTGGAAGGCTTGTGGGAGGCTACTGAGAGGCCTGCCCCGCAGGCCCCACAGGTCCCACAGGTCCTGCGTGTCGCACGGGCGCCAAAGGTCTCGCAGGCCGCGCAGGGCGCACACGTCCCCCAGCCATGGTTCCCACAACCACCACGGGCCCAGACCGCCTGGCGTCGTGATAACATCTGTTTTTTTTCCGGGTTCGGGGGGCCATTGCCGGGCCCACGGGCCGTCCAAAAGTGACTCAGTATGCAATGCTGGTCTACTGTAGGTTCACGCGGCGTTGGCGCGCCGGCGACATTGGCGAAGGCGTTCAAGGCTGCATTTTGCGACGCGGAAGCACCGAGGGACACGCTGGGCCCACTGTGCCCGACGAAATTCAACATTGAACGATCGGGGTCGCGATTGGGCCGCCGCGTCTACCCGCCTTGCCATCCTGCCCTCTTCCGTTTCCCCCCCTCCTCCTCATCTTCCCCCTCCTCCGCCTCCTCCTCCTCCCCCTGCTCCTGCTCCTCCTGCTCCTGTCCTTCCTCCCTCCCCTTCTCCTCCCTTCCTCCTCCCCTCCTCCTCCTCCTCCTCCTCCTCCTCCTCCTCCTCCTCCTCCTCCTCCCCCTCCTCCTTCCCTCCGCCTCCTCCTCCTCCTCCTCCTACTCCTTCTCCTCCTCCTCCCTCTCTTCCTCTCTCCTCTTCCTCCTCCGCTCCTCCACCTCTCCCCATAACTCCCATGCTTCCTCCTCCTCCTTCTCCTCGGCCTCCTCCTCCTCCTCCTCCCATCTTCCTCTCCTCCTCTTCTTTTTCTCCTCCTCCTTTTCCTCCTCCTCCTCCTCCTCCTTCTCCTCCCCCTCCTGAGATGCAATTTGTTTCACGCTACGCGTTTTCGCTCAGTTTTGGTTTCAACCGTATACGAATCACATAGGAATCGTATACGGATCATGGCCACGTTCGAGCTCCAATCCATGTGTTTAGCTGAGATCATGATCGGCCGTCTGTGATCGGACCGATCGCAACCGCTTTTTCAGATGTCCATTGGGCGGCTTAAGGGAACTCATTGAACCCAGAAGCGCTCTTATGATTTCTTCCTTAATCAAAGCCTTACTGAAACGACCCAAAGACATCGTCAACCACTTCGGACCGATCGCAACTGGTTGCGATCGGTCCGAAGTGGTTGACGATCGGTCCGAAGTGGTTGCGATCGGTCGTGCTCGCGCTCCAAGACGGCCCACAAGAGTCCCAAGACGACGCCAGAGAGCCCTGAAACGGCCACACAGATACCCAAGACGGCCCTGAGAGAGCTCCGATGGGGGCCCCAAGAGGCTCCCAAGACGCCTTAGGCAGCCTCAAAAGGACTCCAAGACGGTCCAAGGCCTCTGGACGCCCCGTGACGGCCCAAAAAGGTTCCCAAACGTCCCCGAATGCCCCCATATCAGCCCAACAACAACTTCAGAATGCACAGCATCGCCTCTTTACGGCGCCACCACGGGGCCGAATCGCTCAGGCCGGTCCCAGAGGCGCTCCAGAGGGGTCCCAGACCGTCCAAGAGCACCCCAAGACGGCATCAGTGGGTCCCGAGACGGCCCACAAGGGCCCGAAGCCTTCCGGGGGGTCTCCACGACGATCCAAGAGGCCGCAAAAACGCCCCAAGAGGGCCCCGAGCGCACGCCAAAGAGGCACAAGTCGTCAAATTCTGATGGGAAAACGTATACTTTCAGCATGCCCGCCTTGTGTGCTCCTCAGCGGCCCAGGACACGCCAAGCGGCCTCCCAAATCGCTCCAAGAAGACGCCAGCGGCCCCTAAGAGGTCTCCAGGACGGCTCACACGAGCCCAAAGACGACGCCAGAGAGCCCTGAAACGGCCTCACAGAAGCCCAAGACGGCCCCAAGAGAGCTCTAATGGGGGCCCCGAGAGGCTCCCAAGCCCAAGACGACCTCGGGCAGCCTCAAGAGAGCTCCAAGACGGTCCAAGGCCTCCGGACGCCCCGTGACGGCCCAAAAAGGTCCAAAGCGTCCCAAAACGCTCCCAGAGCAGCCCAAACAAGCGTCAGAATGGCTCGAAACAAAAACCCACACGGACCACCAAGCAGGCCCAGAGACGCCCACTAAAACAGCGATCGGTGAAGTACAAAGCTCTTCTCACCAAGGCTCCCAAGAGCGAGACGCAGCGTAGAGAGCTCTCCCAGGCAAAGCTCCCAAGAGCGAGCGGTGACGTCGGGACACCCTTCCGCATCTCACACAAGAGCACGCACGCACAGCACGCAAGCACAGTAGATTTCCTGGGCTGTCCCCCGGAAGAGGCTCGGGGGGACAGCCCGGGAACGGCCCCAGAGGCGCCCAACAAAAACTTCAAGAGAAGAGGCCCCCAGGAGGCCGCAAAACGGCCCAAGAGGGCCCCAATAGGCCCCTAGGAGGCCGCAAGACAGCCTAAGAGGGCCCCGACAGGCCCCCAGGAGCTCGAGAAGAAAACTCAGAGGCCCACGAACCGTTCCCAAGGAGACGGCAGCGCCCGCCATCAGGCTTCGAAGAGGCAGCCGGAAAAAAGTCACCAGAGCCCTCCGTGAGACTTTTTCAAGGCCCCAGGTGCTTTCAAAATTGACAAGCGGCGAGACGTACACCGCAGACCCACCAGGCGGAGGTAGAGCGGAAGGCGGACGAAGAGAAGGAAACGGTCCAAGAGGGCCTCCGAGACGGCCCAAGACCGCTCGAAGACGCTCCAGACGAGCCGCGGCAAACGAAATCATTGATTCTTCTATGGTTTCTGAAGGATTTCCACCTTCTCGCCATTTCGAGCGAAGACAGGCTGGCCCAAGACGGCCTTTTCGAGCCAAGACTGCCCTAAGATGACGTGGACGAAGTCCACGGGTTTGCCCTAGTCAGCTCCAGCGCTGGGATCAGCGCGTGCGAGAAGGGCGAGCAGTGGCAGCGGGCACTTGCGCTGCTGAGCGAGATGTGGGAGGCGAAGCTGGAGCCCGACGTCATCTCTACTACATTGCAGGGGCACGTGCGTGCGGGAAGGGCGCAGGCTCAAATGTCTCAAAACCGCCCCGGGCTGGCCCCGGGCCGCCCCGGGCCGCCCAGGCAGGCCCCAGGACATGTCGAGAGGGCCCCCAGAAGCCCCCAAGACGGCCCCGGAGAGCCCCGGCACGCTTAAAGATGGGCCCCAGACGCCCGAGATTCGCCCCAGGCGGCCCAAGAGGCGTCCAAGACGCCCGAAGAGGCCTCCCAAGAGGCCTCCCAAGAGGGCCCCGAGCGACAGAAATCGTCGATTTCTACTGTGTTTTTCGATGTTTTCGGCCTCCTCGCCTCGTCGGCTTCCCGACGCTCCAAGACGGCCCAAGAAGCCCCCCCGACCGCTCCAAGACGGCCGAAGAGGACCCCAAGAGAGCCCCAAGACGGGCCAGGAGGGCCCCCAGACGGTCCCAAGACGCCCCAGGACGGCCCCAGGACGGCCCAGGAGGCGCCCAAGACGGCCCAAGAGGCACCCAAGACGACCCCAGGAGCGGCCCAAGACGGCCCACGACAGCCCAAGAGGCGCCGAGGCGGGTCTCAGACGGCCCCAAGACGGCCCAAGAGGCACCCAAGACGGCCCGAGAGGGCCCTAAGAGCCCCCCCGGGAGGCCCAAACGAAGGCCGAAGAGGCTCCGAAACGGCCCCCACGAAGCCTTCAGTGCCTTCAGAATTCCCTCCAGGAGCGGGGGAGCGGACGAGAGGCGACACGTGCGCTGGGCGCCTGAGCGGCCCCGTTGCGGAGAAGATCGCAGGGACGGGGACATCACGATGGCGAGCACCCCGCGCCATCACGACGTCGTGGACCGCGACGTCCGCCATTCTTGCGGGGAGTGCGCCCCGCATGTGCAGGCGCCGCATTTTAGTTGCGTTTGCACCTCCTGTCTTCGGTTCCGACCACGCCTCCTATTCCAATCCCCCGAACTTGCTCGCACTCCTGGCCATGCAGCCGCCATCCCTGTTGCCGTCGCCGTCGTCGTCACATCCGTGAGCTGGACGGGGCCTTCTCAGCAAAGGCAGAGGGGGGACGGAACGACGACGACGACGGCCACGACTACGACGAAGGCAATGACGACGACGACGACGACGACGACGACGACGACGACGACGACGACGACGACGACGACGACGACGACGACGGCGACGACGACGACGACGACGACGACGACGACGACGACGACGACGACGACGACGACGACGACGACGA